TTTTTAAATTTTGTAAAACTTTTCAATTACGAGAAGGAGACTAAATTAGAATACTTGGGGAGGGGGTGTCCATATTGGATCACCATGTGCTCCCTTCTTCCCTTCCCCACATCCTGCTTTGGGGGAAGTTTCAGCAAATGACTCAGATGGCGTATTTTTTTCCCCAAAGTCATGCTTAATAGAAAAAGACATTTTAAATTTTTTCCTATTTCACTTTCCAAAGTTATAGCTAGCACCCAAGGTTATCTTGGCCAAAATTTGGTTATCATAAGATGTTCTCCAGTAATTTTTAAATAAATCATTAAGTAATCTCATTGCAGGAGAGATTATAGCTCTTCCCTCTCCTGCCACCTTTGAATCTCTCCACACCAGAGGCAAATTCGGCAGCAGGGTTTCATTTCTTATTACAGATTTTAGATTCCAAATACAAATTACGATTTTAATTTGAACAAGAAACCACATTAAGATGACCATGGCACTCTTTTTTTTTTTCAGCCTGATTTAAAGGAGTACTTTTTAATATTCCAATTTCTTTATAATTTGGCCTTTTTGCATAGGTGATTCTATTAACGGAGAATTAAACATTTCAAGATTAGGACATGGAGGTGGAGGGAGCCATGAAGGCCATTCCTCCCATTTTTTCTTTTCTTTCTGCTCCTCTTTAGGAGTGGAGGGTGCAAGGGGAGGAGATTTATCCTCCTTGGCCTCTCTCAAAGGCTCTAGTAAATGAAATACCGTGTTCCAGAAGGGAAAACAGTTTTTGGAGGCAAGTTCTTTCCCTGCTGCTGAGCTTTTTTCAAGTTCTGACTAATTTTTTGGCAAGCATTCAAGACCTAATGTACCTTTTTCAAGAAAACAAGGGTTATGTTCAATAACAACATGCAAAAACTATAAGAGATTACCTTCTAAAATTTTAACTCCTTAAGCATGCAAATCAAAAGTCTATAATAAAGTTTCTTACCTTTTTTTTTTTTAAAAAAACCGAATCCTGCCCCGTTAGCCTGGTTAAGAAAAACGTTCCCACCCCGCTTACAGATCCGGACTTCTGCAGCTGATTGTGGGATTTTGTGTGCGGTGAGATAACCCCCTACCTTTACGGTGAATTCTCTTACCTTTACGGTGAATTCTTTGTTCCCCACCTTGCCGGTGAAACTTCGTTTTTTCACTCTAGCGAAACCTTCACTTCCAGATTTCCCGTCGGGCACCAGATGTCATAAATGTTTCCCTCCACGTCCTGCGTGGTTCAGGGTTCGGGTCTGGAAGTGGAGCCGCACACAAATGAAATAGAAAAGACTCAAGATAATTTGGGAATATGGGGGACCAGGCGAGCAAGTCCAACTCAAGAGGAAGGACTTCC